TGAGAGGCACGGCGGAGTCGCGGAGTACGCGCACCAGAAACGCGAACCGCTGTGAACACGAATGGGATTGAAGCGTCCAGTCACATAGATGGGCTGACACAAGAGTGATACCTTATGTAACTTAAGCTATCGAGTTGGAGGGCAGCCTTTCTGTGGCCATCGCTCGCAGGACGGACCGCCCGCATGGCTGGACGATCTCACTCATGTGCACTGCATTTGAGACAGAGTAGTGGCTTCACGATTGCGTCGCCGAGCTTGTCACCGAGCTGTGTCAGCCCCGCCTCCTCCCCTCCAACATTCTGTGAAGCACTGCCCCAGACCAGCGGGAGCTTCGACGTTTTCCGGTGCGTGGGCCCCTGATCTTCTCGACCCCCTTCCCGATGCGCGAAATGTCTGGCCTTCGGGCCATAACTCGGTTCCGTGGCCGCTCCGGACCATCCGGGCGCCCCTGGAACGCCCCCCGCGAGGCGCAGACGCTGGAATGCACATCCCCCGAGTCTGGCAACCCTTCTGGTCTACGAGAACGTTGCAAAACCCTTGAGCCCTGAGGTCCGACGTCGCTGCAACATCGTGGGAAATCAGCCGCGATCTTGTCGAGACGCTGGTCCTCACAGCACATAGACTTCGATCGCACACTCAGGGATACTGCCCCCCGCTCCCCCCCCGCCGTGCGCGCGCGGGGGGCTGCGGCAGCACCTCGCGGCCACGGCGGAGAGGGTGGTAGTCGTCGTCGTCGTCGTCGTCGTCGTCGTCGTCGTCGTCGTCGTCGTCGTCGTCGTCGCCGCCGCCGCCGTCGCCGTCGCCGTCGCCGTCGCCGTCGCCGTCGCCGTCGCCGTCGCCGTCGCCGTCGCCCTCCGCCGTCGCCGTCGCCGTCGCCGTCGCCGTCGCCGGGGGTCGCCGTCGCCATCGCCGCCGCCGTCGCCGTCGCCGTCGCCGTCGCCGTCGCCGTCGCCGTCGCCGTCGCCGTCGCCGTCGCCCTCGGCATGGCGCATTCCGCTCACCTGCCAGCCTTCCCTGCTCCTGCACCGCCTGGCCTTTGCTGCTCAACGGTCGGCGGTGTTCGGCCTTCACTGGGGCTTCCAGCCTTGCACATGCATCCACACGAGGTGGATAATTCGCATCGCCCGCACACGGGCTTGGCAGTTCTTGAATGAACTGGCGACTGCTCTCCATCGCCGCACTTCCACTAAAATCGTGAGACGGATCCAGCACGCCGACGTGTGAGGATAAGAGAGGGGAAACAATAAAGCACAAGCATCCTTGATGGACAACGTGTTTGCGATGATGTCACTCGGACCACACCATCCCCCGGCATCTACCATATATCTATATATATATACATTATAACACGGTGTGCATGCCGTGACGCCTGGGCGTGGGCTCGAGAAGCCGTTTGGTCTCATCCCGAGAACGCCCTGACGCGATCCACCTCTCAGTGGCACGCGGGGTATCCCGATCGACTTTCTCTGGATACCTTGCTTAATTCGTACGCACGGAGCTCTCGAGCACTTGCCTCTGGGGTCACGAGGGACTCGTCAGGACATCGGACTCCTCCTTATCATCCTCCTCCGTGCAGGGATTGTGGTCGGGCACCCGCTTCGCTAATATAGTGACCAATCACGCTTGGTGACAGTCACCTCTGCACATCCCCTCATGGGGGCACGGCGCTGGGCTGACGACATGTCGGAAGCCACCACGGGTTCCAGCAAGGAATTGAAGCAGCACCTCCGGGCCGCATCATTGACACGTGCCAGGAGCTTCGCACGCGCAGGCTCAATGTGGCCGACAAAATGGGCCGTCGTGCGCAGCCCCATGAGCGAAGCAGTCTGTGGTAAAGTTAGCTGTGCGACACTTTTTTCTCACCGTACAACTGACCGCCGTACTACGCACTCAACCTCAGACGCCATGCGATTCAAAGAGTCACAAAGCAAACCAGGAACACCCAACGAACCGACCTGCGATAGGCAAACTCATGAATCGAACCGTGGTTTTTTGCTGTGTGTATATATTAAATTGTATCATCCCGCTGTCTCTCTGCTAGGCCAGACGGCCCTGACTGCAAATGCAGCGACCTAGACACGAGCTGAAAACGCAAGGTGGCTTCACCACATTCCAGCACTGAACTGTGGCCACACCGCTCCTGCCCTTGAAACCAAAGATTCGGCAGGGAGGGCAGGGAGGGGCCGAAACTGGATGGCAGTAAAAGGCGTCGGACAATGATCCCACGAGAAAATGCTAAACATTGTTTGCGTACCCCCCCCCCCGCTTTGCGCCCCGCCAGTGTACGGGCAAAACACGGGCCGTACTGCCGAGCGAAGAGGGTGCGCGTGGAAATTCGGAGCAAGTGCGGCACGCTACAACAGAGGGCCGAGAACACGCATCTCAATGATTATTTCCCAACATCCGATTTCTACACGGCAGCTGCGCGCCCAGCGATTCACGCGCAAGTTCAAACATCATCCCGCGCTCGCTGTTGTGCCAGACGGTTTTCATCTTCTGACTCTGGGTGCATCGACCTGGGTACGAGCTGAGAGAGCAAGGCGGCTTGACCACCTTCCAGCAATGAACTATGGCCACACCGCTCCTGCCCAAAACAACGATCCAAAGAGTTGGCCCGCATGGGCCGATAACGATAGCACCTGATCCGGAGAAACTTCGGCATTACTGTTGACTGGTTTTTGAATCACAGCCTGTCGAAAACCATTGCAGAGGGCCTTGCAAAAGAGCCGGCCGGGGGATTGGCTCAGCAATATTAGTCCAGAGCTCTTTTGCCCGGCCTGGGGCCGAGGGCGCTGTGCCGCCCAGCTGGACGCGCGGGGCCCTGCACTTGGAGCAGACGCCATTGCAAGATGTGCAGAGAGCCTCTACAGCCGAAAGGACGATCCAAAAGGAGAGGAGCCTGGTTCGCTCTCGCCAAGGGGCCCCTTTATTGCCAGAAATCGACGACATTTTGCCGGGCCAGGGTGTGATTCATGAGACGTGCAATGGGAGGGGCCTTCCAGACACGAGAGGGGCAAGGGTTGTCGAGCACCACGTGGAACCGCATCTGGAGACAGCTGTAGGACACTAGCACTAAATTGCATCAGCTTGTACCCTACAAGGACCTTGGACATCTTTTGGATTCAGGCTGGGAAACCCCATGATGTGCTCTCGACTGAAGAACCGCGAGGAGCACGGCAGCCCGACCCGCGCGGTGCAAACGAGCCCCGCCCAGATCCAGCCTGCGTTGAGCCTCTGATTGGACCTGAGGGTGAGGTCGTACTCCTCCCTTTGGCACAGCTCCCACTCGAAAGCCACAATGCTGCTCAGCCCCTCCATCTGCCGCCGCGCCCGCGCCGTCCCGCTGAAAAGTTCGAGGGCGCCTTGCCCCCGTGGGGCGCGGGCGGCGCCGGCTGGCGAGCCCGTGACAGAAGCCGTCCAGTCTGGCTCCGGCACAACTTCGCGTGCTCGAGGGCGTCCTCGGACAGGCGGGCCAGGACCTGCTTATAAGCCGCCGTCTTTTTCGTGCGGGCGAAGCGACTTCACGCTCACCCGGCGCCTTCGCCGCTGCGCGCCCTGGAACTCCTGTGTTTTGCTGCGAGATCGTGGGGTGCGCCGTCACGCCTGCTCTGGTGCAGGTGGTTAATGGCGATCGCCTCCAGGTTGACCTCCCGCACGGGATCCCCGAAGTGTTTCGCCAGCTCCGCGTGCTCGCACGGGAACAGCCGGCCGACCGACTCCCTCTCGAGCCGCGCCAGCATCGGCAACAGATCGTCGTGCTCGCTGCTGTCCATGACCAGCGACTCGTCGAACAGACCGGCCTTGGACGGCTGGGGCCCTTCGGCCGGGCGTAGCGCCACGCTAGCGGCGCCACGAGCTCCTCCGGCTTCATCGTCCACCGGCCGAAGGTGCAGCGCGCTCATCAGCGCCGCGCGCGCCTCCATCTGCCGGGCCCCCTCCAGGAACAACATGCAGTTCGCGATCATCGCCATCACCGCCTGGCACGGGCAGCTGCGTGGCTGGAGGCGCGAGCTTCCCGAACCCCACATGGATCCGGCGTGCTCGCTTCAGGCCCAGCCTGGGGCGGCCCAATTTCCAATGGAACGCCGCCGCCGCCCTCAGCTTGCTTAAATCCTCGGCGGTGGCCCCCCCGAAGTACATCGCGTCGCCCTGCAGCGCCACCGCCTCGTCCATCTGCTCCAGCGTGTCCAGCCGCAGGCGACTCTCCGACGCCCACTGCAGGAAGTCCGCCATCAGCGACGCGCGCGACTGCTCCTGGGTCGTCGACGCCGACCGCGACTCGAGGAGGGTCCGACCCTGGTTCCAGCTTGTCTTAGCTTCCACCAGACCTCGCTTGCGGGCCGCCCGGCGGCCCTCGCGCTTCGACCCCTCGGGCAGCGCGACCGCCGCGGCGATCTGGCTCCGCGCCGCGCGCGCGGCCAGCCGCCAGCGCGCCCGCCGCCGGCGGCGCCGCCTCGCCTTCGTGAAGCGCCCGCGGCGCCCGGCGAGCCATCATCCCGAGCAGAACGGCCTGCAGCTCGCCCGGGCTCGCCGCGCTCGGGCCCCGCGGGCCGCGGGCCGCGGAAGGCTTGGTAGAGCTCGGGCCCAGGCGGCCGATGCAGACGGGGGGTTCGTCCGCGGGGTTATCTTCTGACTTCGCCCATCTAACTGCTGAACTCACCCCCGCGACGAGACGCAGGGCCCCCCACTGCCTGCAGATGCGCTCCATCCCCTTGACTGACGATCGGCCCATGCTCAGCATCAGCGCCGCAGCCATCGCGTCGACGACAAAGAGGAGACGACTTTTGTGGAATGTCGACTGGATCCAAAATTTGACGCCGACCTCAGGGATGTTCGAGGGGGGGCGTCCATCCTCGATGAGGGTGCGCCCGAAATCCCCCCAGGGGTGTATCTCCGAATTCCCCCTCCTCTCTGAGCGGCCTGACTGTTCGGGCGGGCCTTTTGGGCATCGGGGTCGGTCAGTCGACTGCGAGGGCGGGGGAGGCGGGGAGAGGCGGGGCGCACCCGCAGCAGGGCGGACGTCATCACGTCCAGCCCGCCGCCGGCGAAGAGTCCCGGGTACACTCGCCAGGGCAGCGGAGCGCCGCCCAGCTCGATCTCCTGCGCAGGGCCGTCGTCGTCGTCGTTGTATTCGTCGGCGTCGTCGTCGTCGTCGTCGTCGTCGTCGTCGTCGTCGTCGTCGTCGTCGTCGTGTTCGTCGTGGTCGTCCTCCTCCTCCTCGTCGTCGTCCTCGTCGTCGTCGTCGTGGTGGTCGTCCTCGTCGTTCGGAGGCTCTCGGCTGGACCTGGCTCGACAAACCGGTCAGGATGGACCCCTCCGATGCCTGCGGACTTTGGCAGAGCGGCGTCGAGGTTATGTTTTTTTCAGCGCACGCGCGCGCCGCCCCGCCGACAGCCGTCATGGAAGCCTCTGCCGCCAAGGTGTGCTGGACATTGCGATGTTGGCTGTGACCGCGGGCTGCCGTCTCGGCGGCACGCTGGGAACCCGTGAGCCCAAGAGGGAGCAGCGAGAAGGACGGGTGAGAGAATAAGCAGGAGGGCGAGGCGCCCTGGAGGAGCAGGGAGTGGAGGCGGCGGGGCGGGAGGAGGATGAGGCAGAGGACGAGGAGGAGCCCGAAGAGGCCGAGGAGGAGGAGGAGGAGGAGAAGGCGGAGGAGGAGGCGCCGGCGCCGCCGCTGCGATGCGGGAAGTGGGTGAGTGACCCGGCGCGCGCGTGCGCGGAACGGCACCAACCCGCAGCGGCGGTTCCAGGGAAGTGGTCGAGAGGTGAAAGAATAGGGGCGGCAGGGAAGAAGACCCCGACATCCGACGTCGTGATTCTTTCACAGCGTGGCTCGCCAAAGGTCTGGATCCTTTCCTAGGACCGGCTTTTCACCCAGGGTTGTTTTTTGACGGTCTCTGAGGCTGGTGAGGGCCTCAGGAGGCCGAAAATTACCAAACACCTCCCGTCGCGATGTTTCACGACGCGAGGATGTCAGTGAAGCAGTCGATGGTCAAAGGTTTCGGGCGCTTTCGGCAATTTGCTTTGGAGTCTCCTCGGGCCTCCAGAGGCCCCAAGAGAACCTGTGGAGGCCTGCGGGGAACTGCGGGGAGGAAGGAGAGAGACGGAGGAGGGAGGAGCGAGGAACCAGCAATACAGGGTTGCTAGTCACGGCCTGTTGCCCTGGCTTCTCCACTAGGGTTAAGTCGGACGTGTCCCTCTACAGGGGGATGTTCGACGAAAAATAAAAAAGTACTAAAAAATACTCCAAAATGATCCACAAAAATAGTCCCCTGACTATTTTTTACTATTTTTGAATATCCACCCTGTAGAGGGACAGGCCCGACCTAACACTAGGGTGTACTGCTGTGGCCGCTCGGGGCGCCTGCCTGGGTCGCCCTCCGGAGGTTTGGCTGGCTTATCCACGAAGGTTTCTTCACATGGAGAGGGCCGGAGCAAGCGCTGCCGTCCCGCGAGCCGTGTCAGGGCCCATCGTACTCACAGAGCCTTGGGCGCCTTTTCCGCATCTTCCCACGTATTCCCTGTCTCCCCCCCTCCTCCCTCCCCGAGCCGAGAGCGTCTGCTTTTTTCCGAGCCCCCACTTCTACTCACGCTTCACACTGTCCGGCGGATTGCTCAACCCATGCCTTGCATGGGGCCGAGCAGCCCCCAGGCCTGCTCGTGTGGCCCGCTCGCCCGCCCATTTTGGGGGGGCCTCCTGGGAGCTACCCGTGGCCACGGCTGGACGCGAGTCGAGAAAGCGGTGCGGGCGAAGTCCGGGAGGGTTCCGTGCCGGCGGACGTGCTGGCCCAGACCTCGACCTCCTCCAGGGCGCCCGGGAGGGTCGGGAGAAGTCTGTGGCGCGGGACCCCCGTGCGGGACCCCCTTAGGACAACTTCGCGGAGAAGAGAAGGGGAGAGCGAGAGAGAGAGAGAGGATGAGGAGGAACACCTCCTCCTCCTCCTCCTCCGCCTCCTGCTCCTCTTCCTCCTGCACCTCCTTCTCCTGCCTCGTCCTCCTCTCTCGTCCTCACACGTGTTCCCCAACGGGTTTATACACCAGCATGGGGAACCACGTGGTGTGTGCGTGTGGTGTGTTGTGTGTGTGATGTGTGTGTGTGTGTGGTGTGGTGTGTGCATGTGTGTGTGTTGTGCGCGTGTGTGGTGTGTGTGTGTGTGTGTGTCTTGTGTGTGATGTGCGTTGTGTGTGCGTGTGTGTTGCGTGTGTTACTTGAAATGTGTGTTGTGTTGCGTGTGTTGTGTGCAGTGTGTGTTGCGTCTTGTATGTTGTGTGTGCTGTGTGCTGTGTGTTGTGTGTGACGGGTGTGTGTTGCGTGTGTGTTGTGTGTTGTGTGTTGTGTGTGGTGTGTGGTGTATGTGGTGTCGTGTGTATGTTGTGTGTTGTGTGTTGTGTGCGTGGTGTGTGTGGTGTGTGTGTGTTGTGTGTGATGTGTGTGTGCTGTGTGTTGGGTGTGTGTTGTGTGGTGTCTGTTGTGTGTTGTGTGTGCGGTGTGTTGTGTGTGTTGTGTGTGTGTGTGTTGTGTTGTGTGTGTTGCGTGCTGAGTGCTGTTTGCTGTGTGATGTGTGTTGTGTATTGTTGTCTGGTGTGTGTGCGTTGTGTGGTGTGTGCGTTTCTGTTGTCTGTTACTTGTTGCCTGTGTGTGGTGTGTGTGTGTGTTTTGTGTTGTGTGTTGTGTGTTGTGTATTGTGTGTTGTCTGTTGTGTGTTGTGGGTTGTGTGTTGTGTGTTGCGTGGTGTGTGTTGTGTGTTGTGTGCTGTGTGTAGTGTGCTGTGTGTTGCGTGGTGTCTGTGTGTTGTTGTGTGTTGTGTGCTGTGTGATGTGTGTACTGCGTTGTGTGTTGTCTGTGGAGTATGTGGTGCGTGTGGTGTGTTTGGTGTGTGGTGTGTGTGTGGTGTGTGTGTGCGTTGTCCGTGGGCGTGCGTGTGTGTGCGGGCGTGAGTGAGGGTGTGGGTGTGGGTGTGGGTGTGGATGTGGGTGTGTGCCTGGGTGTGGGTTTGCGTTTGGGAATGGGCGTGGGCGTGGGTGTGGGTGTGGGTGTTGGTGTGGGTGTGGGTGTGGGTGTAGTTGTGGAAGTGGATATGGATGTGGATGTTGTGTGAGTTGTGTGTGACGTGTGTGGTGTGTGTGTTGTTTGTGTGATGCGTGTTGTGCGGGTGGTGTGTTCAGAGTGTTTTATGTGTGTGTGGTGTGTGCTGTGTGTGTTGTGTGTTGTGTGTAGTGTGTGGTATGTTTTGTGTGTTGTGTGTGTGTTGTGTGCTGTGTATTGTGTTGGGTGTGTTATGTCTGTTGTGTGTTGTGTGTTGTGTGCTGTGTGCTGTGTGTTGTATGTGGTGTGTGTTGTGTGTATTGTGTGTTGTGTGTTGTGTGTTGTGTGTGTTGTGTGATGTGTTGTGTGTTGTGTGCTGCGTGTATTGTGTGTTATGTGGTGTGTGTTGTGTGCTATGTGTTGTGTGTTGTGTGTGTTGTGTGATGTGCATTGTGTGTTGTGTGTTGTGTGTTGTGCGTTATGTGTTGTGTGCTGTGTGATGTTTGTATTGTGTTGTGTGTTCTGTGTTGTGTGTGGTGTGTGTGGTGTGTGGTGTGTGTCGTGTGTGTGGGGTGTATTTGGTGTGTTTGGTGTGGGGTGTGCGTGTGTGGTGCGTGTGTGCCTGGGTGCGGGTGTGGGTGTAGGCGTTGGCGTGGGTGTGGGTGTGGGTGTCGGTGTGGGTGTGGGTGTGGGCGTGGGTGCGGGCGTGCGTTTGTGTGTGATGTTTTTTCGGCTGCTCGGTCTGCTCCATGCGCGGGCTGGAGGTTCCGCGGGCTACGTCCCGAAAGTCTGCGTGGCGCGCCCCCCGTACACTCTGAGACGGTATTTTCGCACAGCGATTGGCCAAGCTTCGGGACGAAAGCGCCTCCTGCCCGAACGAGACCGCCCACTCTGCCAGCTGCTGAGTGGTGCTGGGACTCAGCTGGAGGCCGCTCGCTCCTGCCCCACGGGAGGGGAGCGAACCAACTTCTGCCATGGACATAGCATTCCACCCGAAGTCTCGCGTCCACACCGCACTGACTATGCACGTCTGGCCCGGCACGTCCTCTGACGCGCCAGGACCTACCCGTGAACATCTCCTGGCCACCAGCGACCTGAGGAGACTGCCTCCCTTAGGAGCCCATCCCCGATCTGCACGTGCTGGCGGCTGGTGATTGCATCGGACATACAAACAATAACCCGGGGACGCACCCAACCCTTTTTAAACATGTGGGGAATATACATCGGATCGCCCAATCAAAAAAAACAATCATTAAATGATCCGCAATGCCCTTGAACGCTTCGCTAAAAAAACGCGGGGCCAAAGTCTGATGTTTCATGCGGCGTCGCTCTCAAGAGTCAGGTCGTTGGCAGGAGAGCGACCACGAGGGGGCGCGGAAACATGTGGAGGGGGGTGGAGACATAATTCGTGTGAGTAGCAGCGCCCTGCGCTGTGTTCGCATTGCAGGACAGCGCTCTGCGCCTTGCGCTAAACGTAGCATGTCCCGCATGCATCACAAGCAACAGGCAGCTGAAGAAGAGATGCGGCATGGGCAACGGACAGCGTCGTGCGATATTCGATGCGCGTACCTCGCACACGCCGCGTCACTCCGCTGGCCCTTCCAGAACCAATCGCAGCCTACAAGAGGACAACGACGTCTCGTGGTGATCCGCGTATGACGTACCTCCGCTGGGCCTCCGAGAGAAGCCCAAAAGAGTGGCGACAGCTTCGCAGATCGCACAGCCCCAGGGGACGGCGAGGTCTCGTGGCAACCCGCGTATGACGTACCAGCCTCGCAGATCGCAGCCTCCAAAGGGACGGCGAGGTCTCGTGGTGATCCGCGTATGACGTACCTCCGCTGGGCCACCCAGAAGCCCACGAAAGTGACGACAGCTTCGCAGATCGCACCCCCCCAGGGGACGGCGAAGTCTCGTGGTGACCCGCGTATGACGTACTTCCGCTGGGCCTCCCAGAAGCCCACGAAAGTGACGACAGCTTCGCAGATCGCAGCTTCCCAGGGGACGGCGAGGTTTCGTGGTGATCCGCGTATGACGTACCTCCGCTGGGCCTCCCAGAGAAGCCCACGAAAGTGGCGACAGCTTCGCAGATCGCAGCCCCCCAGGGGACGGCGAGGTTTCGTGGTGATCCGCGTATGACGTACCTCCGCTGAGCCTCCCAGAAGCCCACAAAAGTGACGACAGCCTCGCAGATCGCAGCTCCCCAGGGGACGGCGAGGTCTCGTGGTGATCCGCGTATGACGTACCTCCGCTGGGCCACCCAGAAGCCCACGAAAGTGACGACAGCTTCGCAGATCGCACCCCCCCAGGGGACGGCGAAGTCTCGTGGTGATCCGCGTATGACGTACCTCCGCTGGGCCTCCCAGAAGCCCGTGGCGACAGCTTCGCAGATCGCAGCCCCCCAGGGGACAGCCACGTCTCGTGGTGATCCGCGTATGACGTACCTGCGCTGGGCCTCCCAGCGAAGCCCACGAAAGTGGAGACAGCCCCACAGCCAGGGGACAAAAAGAATAAAAAAAAAAAATAAAAAAAAAGAGCAAAAAAACAAAGACAAAAAAAGAAAACACAAAACAAAACAAACAAAACAAGCAAAAAAAAAAAAAAACAAGGAGCGGGAAAAAACAAAAAAAAAAAAAAAAACAAAAAAAAAAAAAAAAAAAAACAGAAAAACAAAACAAAAAAAAAAAACAAACACAAAGAAAAAAAAGGAAACAAAAAAAAAAAACATAAAGAAAAAAACAAAAAAAAAACAAAACCAAAGAAAAAAAAAAAGAAAAAAAAAAAAAAAGAAAAAGACACTAAAAAAAAAAGAAAGAACGAACAAAAAGAGCGCACAAAAAAGAACAAAAAAAACAACAATAAACAAAACAACAACACAAAAACAGGAACAAAAAAAAAACAATAGAAGAAAAGAAAAACAAAAAAAAAAAAAAAAGAAAAAAAAGAAAAAAACGAACCAAAAAAAAGATACAAAAACGACAGGAAATAAAAAAAAAAAGAAAAAAAAAAAAAAAAGAAAAAAAATAAACAAAAAAAAAAAACAAGGAGGGTAAAAAAAACAAAAAACAGAAATCAAAAAAATCACACACAAAGCAAAAAGACAAAAAAAAAATAAAAACAACAAAAACAAAAAAGCAAAAAAAAGAAAACAAACACAAAACAAAACAACAAAAACAAAAAAAAAAAAACTAAAAAAACAAAAAAACACAGAAACAAAAAAAAAAGAAGAAAAAAAAAAAAAAGGAAAAAACAAACACACAAAACAGCCACATCTCGTGGTGATCCGCGTATGATGTACCTCCGCTGGGCCTCCCAGAGAAGCCCACGAAAGTGGCGACGCAGCCCCCCAAGGGACGGCGAGGTCTCGTGGTGATCCGCGAATGACGTACCTCCGCTGGACCTCCCAGAAGCCCACGAAAGTGGCAACAGTTTCGCAGACCACGGGCACGAGGCAGGAGGCAGAAGGCAGGCGGGAGGAGAGAGGAAGAGGAGGGAGAAGGGGGGAGGCGAGAGGAGGGGGAGGAGGAGGAGGGGGAGGAGGAGGAGGAGGTGCAGACGACAGCGCTCTATTCAAAACACGAGAAGGCAACCAAGGCCCCCCATGTGAGGCACAGGGTGGTCACAGCAACGTGGCTTTCGCGCGCGCCTCTCCGCCTCCGTTCCCGCTCTTGCAGCAGGCTCCGCTTGCTCGGCGAACTCCGCCAGCGAGCGCTCCCGCAGCGGCGAATCACCGCGTATAGCGGCGGCCACCTTGGGGAGTTGGGGTCTCAGCCGGGCGGACAGGTCGGTGCGAGAGCAAGTCAATCGGAACAACGGAAGGATGCTAAGTGAAATGGACGAAGCTAGAAGAGAGTATAAGGATTCAGAAGACGGTGGCAGAAGACGGTGGCAGAAGAGTGCCGAATGCAAGAAAGGAGTGAAGCAGAGGGAGGGGAAGTTCGGATGTGAAGAGTGGCGAATGTCGTTCGACATGTTATTCACGCCGCCTTGATCGCCACAGCCTTTGCCTGGTCCATTTCGCTTGGCAAGTTCTCCCCGGAACATGGTGCATGTGCCGCCTCTGACGACTGACGACGTAGTGTTATTCGAAGAGCGCTGCGTCTGTGATTCGCTCCTGTAAGCGGACAATTAAAGAATTACTCTCCCCTGTGCGCCACAACAATAGAATCTGCACCTGAACGTTCCAAGGAACGCTTACCAGACAGTAACTTGGACGTGGGGGATAGACTCACTAACATTTGCCTTGTAGATATGGCCGCACGGGTGGTGTGAGTACGTATGCCCCTCCTCGTCGCTGGGGCAGTGCTGGAGGCATCGCACGCCCCTGTGAAAATGCATGGCAACTCCGAGCTTCAAGACCACTGTTCACAGCACCCTGGCCTTCCCAGCGATTTGTGCCGGCATGCAGCCGACACTGCCGTAGTCTGCAACGACCCCATTCGGACGCGCCGTCATCAAGTCGGAGAGGGCGGCGTGCTTCATCGCATCTTTGAACTTACCATCGCGATGTGCTGGGCTGCACACGCCCCGTGCGCTGGCCCGAACCCCGGCGTAGAGCTTCGTTCAGGCCGCCCGTGGCGCGGATTCCGTGGCACGAGGCGCCCGCATAGGCACTCGATGGCGATGAGGCCGAGAAGATGACACAGAGCTTCTGGAGGCCGTGAACTGCTGCCGAGGAGGAAGAGGCAGCGAAGGCGGTGAGAGAGGGGCACAGACGGAGGAGAATCGAAAGGACAGTCGAGAGGTCAGTGACGCGTGCACGGGCGCAGGCCAGCCACCACGAACTCGCCGCGCAGAGCCACCGTGCGCGCGTTGTAGAAGGCAGGACCAGCCAGTGCAGACCTGAGCACTCGGGGCGGCGTTCGCGCACGTGCAGTTCGAGCGCGACTGCGACGCGAAAGCTCCACGGCCCTTGCGATCGACTGTATACCTTCGAATGATACCACTGCGTGGGCCCCAAACGATGACCCTGTGAAATCTGTGGGGTGAGACCTATGGGGCGCAATGGATATCGAGACCCTCTCGGTGGGAGCCCTATCATCTGGCCCGAAACAAAGGAAACTGTTGTGTGCCCCATCTTCCACCCACCAACAGGGAATTCCAAAAAGGACCATGTCATCTGAGCGCACATAGGGGCATCCTCATGGTGGGCCTCATCATGTGACCGCAAACTGCGACATCACAGGGAACCCATCTGACCAAATGAAGAACATCATTTACACCAGCCTCACTTCTACCCACACCTAAAAAACGTACATAGGGTGTCCCATCATGTGCCCACAAAAAGTGCACCCATTCGGGAACCAAATGATACGACCACTTCTAACGAAACATAGGCAATTCCACCACCTGACCGCAAAGCGGAGTATCCTTCGAGTGCCCGATCATCGAACCAGAAGCATGGAAATCCGAGGGGCCGTAGCGTCGCCACCGATGCAGAACTATGAAGGGGCCTCTTATCCTATGACCATAAACATCAATTTCTGTTGGGGACCGTCTCATGTGACCACAAGCTGGGAAATCCTCAAGGGGCCGTAGCGCGAGAAACAGTTGCGAACACACGAAAACCCTGGCAACCGTTGTCAATATCAGAACACACAGTTCCAGAATATCGGAAGGGACAACTGCTGAGGCGCTGCTCGTTCTACTCAAGAGCTGCACGGAAGAACTGCGACACTGCGTAATGGTGCTACCGTGTTTCTTTCTGCCACGGGCGCACTGGTGCCACGAAGATGCCGGACCAAATGATTATGAGGCGCGTCATGCCCCCAAACAACCTGATCCGCAATGCACATAGCGGGCCAGGCACGACGAACGCGCACCAGCAGCGCCCCGTCGAGCCCACGGTCATGTGTTTTAACATGTGCGGTAAGATTCACACGAGAAAGCTCCTCGCGCAGAAGAGGGCGAAGAAGGCCCGAAGAGGTGGTGGTCAACACAAGCCCCTGTTTGCCAACGTCTCTCTGCATTCTCATCCAGCCCGCCACAGCCCGCCGAATTGGCGCCACGCTTCAAGATGCCCTACGCTGTCCTGGCAGAAGCAAGCGAGACAAGCGAGACCGAGATTCGCTTCATGGCACAGGCGCCCTGCCGCTGCGGATCTGTGAACAGATCTTCGACCGACACAGACCAGGCTCTGGTGTGGGGGAAGGGAACATGTGGAAAGCAGCAAATATTGGAGCGGACTGAAGGGGGGGATTACACCAGGAGGGTTAGCAAATCAGCTCACGTAGCTAGTTATCTGGCGCATCCTGGCGCTGGATGCGCCAATTGATACAGGAAAGGTGCGCAGCGGCGGGGCCGAAGCCAGCTGCATGCCGCAGATGTCATACCCCTCTTTCCCAATCCCCCCTAGTGTCCGACCCGAAAATGCTACACGCAACACGCACCGATCACTGTACACCCTGTGAGCCAGCGGGCACCAGAGGAAGCAGCGGTGCAGCCTGGGATGCGAAGGCTGGGGCGGACGAAGAGGGGGGGGAATGGTAAGACGAAGGCAGAATGAGGGTAAACTGAGACCAAAGGGGGGGATAGTACTAAGACGAAGGGAGGATGAGGATCAAGACGACATCGGGAACCTCTGAGAGCCAGTGGGTCTGGACGATGTGTCGGACGCGGGGTTTCTCCCAGGGCGCTCTGGAACGCCCAGGGCGTTCTGAGAGCGCTCTGGGAGCGGTCAGTCCTCACCTTAGGCCTGCCCTGGATTGTGAAGGGGGGGATTCACGCAGCTGGTGTCCCCGCGCCCCACGACACCGCGGGCGGCCGTGCGTCGAGGATAGGGTCCAGCGGCGGAGCCGAAACTGGCTGCACGCAGCAGGATTCGTACCCCCCTGACCCAATCACCCCCTCCAGGAGCCGACGTCGGTGTGCCTCGGCTGGTTCCCTCCAACCTTCGGCCAGACTCCGCAGGAGGCGAGGATGCGCCGAAAGCGGTGCCTTTTCTGGGACGCCCAATGTGCATGGCACACTTTTTTGGGTCGGCGGCGCATCGGATCCGAGTTGAGGGCGGGCTGCGCTGGGGCACAGGCGAGGCGAATTGCGGCAGAGGCTGGGGACGGGTGCTGGAGGAACGGAAAGGAGGCTACGCGCGGCAGACGGGCCCTCAGAGCGTGGAGGTCTCCGGGATAAGCCGAGTTTAAGTGAGAAGGTGCCTGGCAGAAAACCAAACAGTGAGCGCCCGGGGCGAAGCGACGCGGCGAGCACAAGCACTGTTCGGGCTCACTCGAAAAGACAGAGGCAGCGGACGCGCGCGCCTTTTGGCAACATCAGGCGCATGCCGCCCTCCCCCTCTGGACGCTAGGCCTCCGCCGAGGCCCAGCTGCGCCGCCAGCTGGCGGCCCCACGGCCACCCAGCTACTTGCCCCTCGGCGCCCGCGACTTGCGGGAGGTGCCGAATGGGGCTCGCAGCTGGGCGCCTCTGCTGCACAGCGCATGGCCAACTTCACTCCTCACACTCCTCAATCCTCGGGGACCGCACTGGCGGGACGCCCCGTCCCTCCACTCTCTCTCCTCCTCCAACACTCCCGGGGACCGCACTGGCGGGACGCCCCGGGGTTCCTCTCCTCACCTCCGCCGATCCTGGGGGTCACCACTGCCCCCAGGCCGCTGCCCCAGGACTGCGCACAATCCAACATCGGCCCCTCCAGTGGCGACACGCCTCGGCTCAAAACTCAAACTCCTGCTACTGAACTCAGGCCACTGACTTTTCCTTCACATCAGCGGCCGATCCGTCTCCCGCCACCTCAACCTTGCACCCCGCGTGCAGGATTGCAACAGACTTCGCCATCGCCTCCGACACCCCAGCGGCGTCCTCGTTCGCCTCCCACAAATACTGGTGAAAGGCTCCGCTATTCCACCGCCCCCAACGCTTGACCAGCTCCGTGTCATGGAAGCAGTGGCACAGGGCCGTCGCTCCGCCGTTTCGGAGCGAATGGCTCTTGAACCTGTCGGGTGGGTAGCCTTCCGGCGCCGCCGCCTTCTGAAGCAAGCCCTGGATACGCTCCCGCGTGATCGGGCTACCGTCCCCCCACCTCGCAAGCGGTAGATGCGCCTCTTTACACGTGATACGGCTCGGGAACCAACGGTTGTAGCACTCCGCCGCCCACGCTGGACAGATGCCGGACGGGTCGTTCGAGCGGTAGTGGTTCCTCGCCTGCCCTGCCCCCTTCTGGTCGGCCTTCGACGCCTTGAACCACAGCACCACCTCGTCCGCCGCAGCGAAGTGACTCACCTGCTCGCCCTTGCACTTCGGGGCAATGTCCAGCCCGGTCAAGACTTTCTTCAAATCCCAGTGCCCCGAGTGGGCGTACCCCCCAATCCGCATCATGAAAAAGAAAGCGAAGATCACGCAGAAGTGCAAGGCCGCATCGTCCGCACAGGCGCCCGGCTTCAGCACGCATCGGACCCTCCTCAACATCTTGGTCGTAACTGGGAGCTTCCTCTTTCCAGGCCCTCGCCAGTTCTCGATCCCATTCAAAGCCATCCACAGCCGCGGCTTCCCCGCCAAGGGGTTGGGCTCCCCCAGCATCACGTGTTGTGAGCGGACCCCCAGCAACTTAGACCGCATCGTACCGTGCGACCGCTTCAGGCTGCTGCACAGGTGCACCATGAACAGCCGCAGCTCCTCCTCGTCTTGGTGACGCTCGTCGCGAGTCTCGCCATGTAGAATGGGCGACCTCCTGCGGATCCGGCGGAGAGTCGTCCACTGCCTCCAATCGACGCCGTAGGTCGCCTTCGTCCCCTTGGCCACCGAAGCCACCACTGCTGCACCTACCAACCTCTGGAGCTCTGGCGCGTAACCAGCATCGGCACGCCCCCCGGCCCGCCTGGAGCCCTCCCTGGCGATCCGCCTGAGCTGCCGCTCTAGCCCTTCACTGCCCCGGCTGCTGCCCGCTGCCGCCGCCAGGTACCGGCTCACCGCCTCCGGGTCGATGTCCTCGGGCGGCCTAGCCTCCTCCTGTGCCTCACGCAGCGCTACCTCCTCACGTTCACGCCCCTCTCCTCCCCCTCGCCGGGGGGCCGCGCGGCGCGGCGTGCGCGGACGCCTGCCCGGTTGGCCCTCCGGGGGGCCGCGGGCGGTCCGCGCCACTGCCCTCGGCGGCGCCCTCTCCTCCTCCTCCTCACAGCGCCCCTCTGGGCTTCGGTCGGGGGCCCGCGCGCGCGCGCGTCCGACCCGCCTGGGCCGCGGCCGCGGCTGTGCTCCCTGCTTGGCTGCCCCTTGCGCTGCCGACGACCGGCCCCTCGCCATCGATATGGGGTAGGTCCGGTTGCACATCGGGCAGCCCATATCCCGGCCCTCGCCCTGCACTCCGCAGTACTCACACCACGCATAGCGGGCATCCGGGCCGCCCCCTGGGAAAGGCACTGGCCGAAGCTCGTCAACCTCCTCCTCTGCCTCCTCGGAATCCTCCTCCGAGAAGGATACGGGTGAGTTGAGGCCCCTCACGTCCTCGGCAGCTCGCGCGGGCCCGCCTGGCCTGAGCGGGCCCTCCTCCGCCCAGTGGCCAGGGAGCTGCAGCAGCCTCGCCGGCCCGCCGGACCCGCTCGACCCCCCCGAAGGGGGTGCCCAACTTCCCGGTTGGGGTAGCGGTTCGCGGTCTGCCCGCCCCTCTGGCTGCGGGAGTGGCTCTCGGCCAGGCGGAGGGTGGGCGACTGGCGTCTCCACCCTGGCGGCCCCTTCCTCGGGGCGGCCCTCCTCCTCGGGGGCGGACCAGAGCCCCGTCCTCTGGCACTCCACCCGCCGGGCGAGAGCGCGGCAAGTCTGACCGACCGCCCGCGTGACCTCCGTGGGGGGCCCCTCCTCCGACCCCTCCTCCTGCTTGACCTCCGCTGGTGCAGGTGGG